TAATGCACTGGAATGCAGAGGGGGTTACAAATAAAAAGCTAGAGTTAGAAAATATTCTAAATGAGGAACAGATTCATATATGCTGTCATATAAAATAAATGGAAAAATGTACAATTGGATTAAAGCATATCTACATAACAGAAGAGCCCGGGTACAGGTAGATGGTTTTAAAAGTAAAAAAAGTTCTACTGCGACAAGGCGTCCCTCAAGGTGGTGTCCTGTCGCCCACACTTTTCCTTTTATTTATCAACGATCTGGTTGCTGAGATACCAAATGGAATCAAAATGGCAATGTATGCCGACGACCTGGTACTGTGGTGCACCAATGAACATGCAACGATAGCCACAAAAACACTACAGCGGGCTACAAATGCACTTGAGGCATGGGCCAATAGATGGTGTGTCAGCATCAACACAGACAAATGTAGCACCACACTATTCACCCTCTCCCCAAAGCAAAAAGCCGGCACCATCAAAATAAACGAAATACCCCTGAGAGATGATAAAGAGCCCACATACCTAGGAGTCACATTTGATGACAGGTTGACATGGAGAAAACATATCAACAAGGCAGTAACCAAAGCCAGGAGGAAGACAGCAATACTAAGAAAACTAAGTGGAACCACATGGGGAGCAGATGGGAAAATACTCAATAAAGTATACAAGCAGAGCATACTTCCACACTTGGAATATGGGTCAACTGCATGGTGTTCAGCATCTAGTACCACATTAAAGGAGTTGGACAAAGTGCAAAATCAAGCGCTCAGAGTCATCACAGGAGGGATGAAATCAACCCCCATATTAGAAATGGAGAAAGCTGGGAAAACACAGGCACTGAGAGAACGCAGAGATACAAAGTTGCAAATACAAGCTGAAAAGTTCCTCAGTATGCCAGATCACCCGATGGAAAATATATTTAAGAACCTAGCCTTGGGACGGTTAAAAAGAAGCAGCTTTATACACCAAGCAAAAAGAATATGTAGACAAACTCCTGACCTTCCAGAAATTGGCTGCCCACTTAAAAGTATTCCGGAACAAACACCATGGAGAGAAAAATGTAAACTAACGGTACAAATCCAGACAAATGTGAAAGGGATATTTGACAAGAAAGAGCAAGATAGTGTACAACGCAAAATGGCCACCCTCAGTTATATTGATGAAGAATACCCACAAGAACAATGGGTCAGAGTCTATACAGATGGGTCCGCAGAAAGTGCAGTTAGAAATGGTGGTGCTGGAGTGTACATCGAATTCCCAGATGGTACTAGGGATAAGTCCAGCGTACCAACCGGGAAGTACTGCCATAACTACAATGCAGAAACCCAGGCTATTAAGATAGCAACAAAGAAACTGCTAAATACCAACCTTGGCTCACAGTATGTGGTAATGCTTACAGATGCTAAATCAGTACTTGAAGCACTCCAGTCTAGGAAACTACCAGAATTGCAAACACTGCTGACACAACTCAGCGTTCAGCGAAGAGTCGTAATGCAGTGGATACCGTCTCATTGTGGAGTGCCTGGAAATGAGAAAGCTGATCAACTGGCAGGGGAAGGTGCGAAAAAAGAGCAGCCAGATGTACCAGTCACATACCACCGAAAGAAAAGAATAATTAAATCGATCAGGAAACCACCAGCCCAAGCACAAGACGACTATTTTATTATGGACAGACCAGAACAAGTCATTATCTTCCGCCTCAGAACAGGGCACAACCGATTACGTAACCACATGTACACAAAATTCAAGATAGGTGTATCAGCCATGTGCACCTGTGGAAATGTGCCCCAGACCGCAGAGCATGTACTCCAGGACTGCACCGATTTTGACACATTAAGGCAAACCTTTTGGCCAGAAAGAACAACAGTGGAACGTAAACTCTATGGACCACTGAATGAACTAACAACGACAGTGAAATTTATACAAGAGACAAAACTGCTGATATAGATAACTTATTTCAGGCGAACGAAAGAAGAAGAAGAAGAATTGACGTTATGAAGGACACTCAGTGTTTGGCACTTTCCACATCAGGGAACTGTTTAAAAGGGTCGCGGCATTAGGAAGGTTGAGAGCCACTGAGATACAGCATTAGCAGCAGTCTTTGTTATATCTTAGCGGCTACCATCACCCTCGTCACCGCCAGGCGTTTATAAACCTTTACAATGAAAACATTGATAAGATGTGGGATGCCGGGACATCTGACAAAGTGGATACAAGATATTTAAGTTCTAGTGATCATTGGATATCATCTCCACACATACTGACAATAAGAGTGGGTGTCTTGGCCAACTGTTGTTTAATAGCGAGTTTTTAAAGGGGTGGGAAATTATAGGGAAGAGAAAACGATGGTAAGAAAGAATAAACAGTTTATGTTAGTTTTACAAAATCGACCACAATAAACTAACAAAGGACATTGCGGCGATTAGCCTTCATCAGCACATAAAGAACAACACAGTACACATATACAAATATGCTCTATGAAATGACTACATAGGACTCTAATGACAAATATGCTCTATGAAGTGACTACATAGGACTCTAATGTACAAAATAAATGATACTCATCTGTGACCCTGGCGAAAAACCTAGTTCATGAGAGAGAACCACATCACTAAAACCTTCTCTTAGTTCACTCTAACCCCTGATTCTTCACACCGTCTGAACAATCTATTAAGCTGCTGCTGCGGTACTTTAGCCGCCTCCTCTCTGTACCCTGCCATACGTCAGTGCATCATTAGCAAAGGACATAGTGCACCCCAGTCCCATGTCCTGGGTGCGTAACCGTTAAATAGAACGGGAGATGATGGTGACCTCTGAGGTAGTTCGCTGCTTCGACATCCATGGTCCATCATGCAACATCGCTGTTCTTTCCAAAAAAAAAAAAAAAAACGCTGCTGGCCTATTTGATCAGGTTTGGATTAGTACTCATGTCTGACATGATTTGTAGAGGATTGGACCAAATAAAAAGGGAAAATGTTGACATTTTTTTGAATATGGAAACGAGGGAGGTAGGCTATAAGAAGTATTTTTTTTTTTTTTTTTTTAGAAAGTGGTATACTCCAGTTATACACATTAAACACAATAATGGAATTGGGGAGAACAGCAGTGGTGGGCGTAGTTCATGGGCAGGGGTCGACCAACAAGGTTGTGAATACATAATGTCAAGAACACCCTTGCATGAAAGCTCATGAATTGGCAAGGGATTTATTGGCATCCGTATCATGATTATAGTTTCCTGTGTGGGTTCCGGGATCCACGAGGACAGCTCCATGTGTGAGTTCTGGGATCCTACGATACAAGCTTTCTGGGTGGGTTCTGGGATCCTAGGAAGAAAGCTCAGTGTGTTGATTCTAAGATTTCTTATTGGGTTTCGGGACCCCATGATTAAAGCTCCATGTGTGGGTTCCAGGACCCCATGATGAAAGCTCCATGTGTGTGTTCAGGGATCCCATCAGGGATAGGGGGGGGGGGCGTGATAAGCCAATTGCCCCCTTTAAAAAATGTCGTGGGGGTTGACTAATTATGGGTGTTCTCTTCCAAGTCGAAGTGAATCTGCCTGAGAGACAAGGAACCAACAGGCTGCATACAAATCCAATAAACAAATGTGCAACTACAGTCCAGAAGTGGACGAACAACCACAACTTTCGGCTGGAACATACAGCAGGTGACCGCTAGAAAGCAAATGATGATGATTACAGGGGTATTCTGCAACGGGCCTGGTACATGATGGAAAGTCAGTTATAAAACACAAGCAAATATTGTTAAAGAAAACCATGCACTGTAACCGAAAGTCAGGTTTCCCTCACAGTAAAAAAAAAATTATGTATATTTGTTAGGGCTCCAGAAGCATAAGCACCCAGGCCCATGTTCTTTTTTTATTTTTTTTTATTTGACCCTATTTGTAAGACTTCGAGATTTCGTCTGGAGTTTCCGAGAAAGTCCAATATTATAGTGTGGTTATGGTTATCAATGTTCATTCCACAACCCAACACCCCTATTCTATTGGACTTACCCAGGCACTCCCGGCGAAATATCGGGGCCCATAAGAGGGGATAAAAGAAAAGAACCCAGGTCGGGTTCCGACATGCATGGTTGTCTGTCTTCCTGGAGAAGTGATCAAGCCGTTTACTTTGCGCTTCTGATGCATAGAAGGATACCTCTGTTAACCAAAGCAAATTTTATAAAAACGGTTTTTTTGGCCGATATTATGCTACCAATGCCAAACATGGACCGTTACTACAACTAATTGGCGGAATATAGTAATAACAGAGATTAGATGTCTTAGGAGAGCTGCCGGTGTGACAAAAAAAGATAGAATTAGGAATGAAGAAATTAGAAGAAGGCTAGGACTGAAACCAGTCATACAATTTATTAAATAACAACAATTGAGATGGTTTGGCCACCTGACGAAAATGCTCTGGTACCAAGTGCCACAGAGAGCCGCACTGAAGAAATATGAATGAACACGGAGCAAAGGGAAGACCACGCAAGAAATGGAGCAACATCATCAGGAGCAACTTTATAGAAATGAACACCAGCTTGCGCAATGCATTGGAAAAAGCGCACAAACGATCCTTACATCTGCCCAAACACCTCGCTGAGGTAAATGGTAGAAGAGAAGAATACCAAAAAAAAAAAAGAATGTTAGGAGCTAGTTTCACAAATGTCTCTCCATTCACGGGTACAATTTTACTGAGATCCACGGCGATAGTCAAAGGAGCTACGAAGCTCGTGCTGTATGCTATACTGTCGACAGGAGGAACCACTCATATGGGATAAACCCGGCGCAATGAAGTCGAGGCTCTCGACGTATAACACGCCAGATAACATATTATGCAACATTGATAAATCGAAAGAGGTGAAGTCATAAATGCACCGATAACTCTTCAGTCCAAAAGTCAAGAAAACAGCACGGTGAGAGAAAGTGTTGTGTGACTTGTGGCCTCATCCATCCACTGTTGGAACTTTTCAATACAAGCAGCTGGTGATTGCTATCTACTTAACATGGAGCAAGACAGTCAAATAAACGATGTTTCTGAGTTGGATCCACCCCCACCAGCATTTTCAAATCAGTTGGGAATTCCAACATCTTTACTGTATAATGGATCACGATTTCAAGGCCACCAAAAAAGCAAAGGCAATCGCTACGATGTGGAAGTTGTTCTGCAGGTAACCAGAATTCAAAGATAAGGCGCATATTGAGTTGTTATACTTATTCTGATACATCTGTCGGTCGACGAGCGACACATATTATAATTGTAGCAGTACACCATTATTTCTTCTTCTTATAGTTTATGTTTGTTGTGTGGCTGTGTATGATGTACATACTTTATCTACTCAGAGATTCTCTGGTCTGTCGTCAATACAATCATCTGTGACATCTCTAACATAGATGGATGCTCTTTCATGCCATGCTATGATTATGATGCCATATTATTATACTCCCCCCCCCCCTTCTTTCTTTGTTTTCCCCTGCCTCTCTTACTACTCTAGAGAAGTCAGTTCCTTGACTTTTTGTCATATATGGTGTTGTCTCAATGTCTGTCCTCAGTTTTATCTTTTGAGTACAGCTAGTGTCAGTCATCTATGACAGATGTTCATCAATGCTATAGTTAGTAATTAGTCGACAGATTATCCTCTTGCACATCACATTATTCCGACCATTAGTGCTCAGATCCCTCCCCAGTAAATCTTACGGCATGTAGCATCTGATGACATACTGGCTATGTTGGTTTCTTGTTCTTCTTTGGCTTCCTGCAGTGGGCTGTTGTCTGGTCACACCGATTTTAATTTTTTTTTTTTGGCAGTCTGGTCATGGTTGCAGATTCAGTCATTTGGTGCTTGCAAATGTTTTACTTCTCGTTGAACATTCAGTATATCAGCCTGGTCCATAGTTCATCCACCATTTGCAGTAGCCTTACATGCAAGCCATTCACTGTACTCATTTCCTTGCACACCTGCATATCCTGGCATGGAAATCAGACTGATATTTGTTAGCCCTGACTGCCTTAGAGATATCAGCCACTGTCTTTGGACCCAGCCCATCTCCGTCTTCTTGAGTATACTGATTGCATCACTGAGAAAGCATGTGGGTTGAAAGGTTTTGCTAATGCTTTCATTGATACACCTTCATGACCCTAATGTTTATGTTATGTTATATAAGACTTTTATGAAAGAAATATATTCAACCAAATGCAAACAAAATACAATCTACTTTAAGAATTTAAATTAATAGGACATGAAATGAGGACACCAACAACATATTGTACCATTTACTTATTGCCTGCCAACCTGCAGTGGTAGAATGGGGAGATAGCTGGGGAATAGAGTAGAAAGCAGATTTTATTCCAGAATGAACAAACAAACTAGTACATTAACAAGTAGTTACACTGTAAATGAGACAAAACCAATCAAGAGAAAAGAACCAGATTCTTAAATAGTCAGTTGAGGGGGAGGGGCGCTTTACCCATACGTGGGGTTTGTTGTTGACCTACTTTGGGTATCAGAGTCATATCATACATGACCTGCTAGACTCCAGGGGTATGATACATCGGGATTGTGTCTTCTGTGTCATTTGTCACACACCCAGCAGGTGAACTTTGAGATTCATGGAAGCGATCACAATCCACATAGGCTGTCGTGTGTGATGCAAATATAACGATCATAAAAGAAATGCTAAATATAACACAAAATGTGACTAGAAAGCTCAATGGCGGGAATGGAAAAGATGTACACAAACACAACTGAATGTTTCGACTAAAGTCTTTATCAATCGAGTACTAAATACAACACAAACTTTGACCAGAAAATTCAGTGAGCAAGACAACAGAGCTAATAAAAAACCAAGGTCAACATGAAACCAAGAAGTGACTGCAATCACCCTCTATTTATGTCATCACTCAGAAGAAAGGCCAAAGGAACATACTAGAACCATCAAAATTGGAACTGCACTGGCTGCTGAAGGGGATGGGGAGCTTATGGGAATGTCCCAAGAACTGTGATGACAGTTCTTAACTCAACACAAGAAATCATCCTTTAATTTGTTATTTCTATTTCTTTCCTTCCTCTTATACTGCTTCTGTTATCGAAAGAGATATCAGGCTCTGCTTCTTGCTGTTTTTTCCGCATTGACCCTAGTCACATTGTGGTTTAATCAGTCTGCTTTTTTCTCACTGTATTCTCTATAGTGATAATAAATTCATTGCCAGCTTGCTAGGCCTTTCGCAGCTTCACTGGAGCCACGCTGGCCAGGATGTTTCGGAGGTGACCTTCATGGCTACCGTAGCAGCACACGGTCACACCATACTTTGCCCAATCCTAACCGTCCCATACTTTGTCCTGTTTACCCCTCTCCTGACATGGAGGTGGGGTTGGGGTTTGAGAAGCCTTTTGTTATTCAGTGTCATTAAAACAGCATGACTGGGAGTCTGCAACTGTGACTTCAGAAAGACCAGCAAGTCAAAAGAGGTGATACCAGACCAGAGCACAAAGCAAGTAAACCATCACCAGACTGATGTCGTTGTTGTCTGCTTAACTACAGGGATATACTGATAAGGGGATCAGAGCAGAGCAGTATTGGCTGAATGGCTTAGTGCAGATGTTCCATTGACTAACTATTAAATGTTATTTTATTGTTTCCCCCAGCATGTTGATGAAGAAAAAGCTTTCCTATGTGGTTATTTGAAGATCAAAGGTCTTACAGAAGAGTACCCAACTTTGACGACATATTTTGATGGTGAAATTATTAGCAGTCGGCATCCTTTCTTGACACGAAAATGGGACGCTGATGAGGATGTTGATAGAAAACATTGGGTAATGCTAACATTCATACTTTATGCTATCTGATTGATTAGAATTTTAATGTTTAAGTTCATTTCAGTTCTTCTTCCACTGCATTCTTCTGAAGATATAAATGTGTTGTGCCCTTGTACAACATTGCGGTGATATTTGCATTTTTCCGCCGACACATTCAACTTCTTCAGGCATTAGTTGTCTGGGTTAGCCTTCCCGGCATTTCATTTCATTGAAGGCTGTTTTCCTGTCCCCATGTGGGTTCCGGGGCCCCATTGTGGGAAAAACGAATGGACCCACAGCCTGCCTAAAAGTATGTCATAACAGTTGACTAATTGAGAGCTTCCTTCAAAGTCGATGCATCTGCCTGAGAGGCAAGGAACCAACAGTCTGCATTTAGATCTGTAGAACTGATTCAAATGCAACACTCAGGTACTGGAACCAGGCTACAGTCCAGAAGTGGACGAACAGCCAGAACTTTCCGCCGGAGTTTGCAGCTGGTGAATGCAAAGAAAAAGACTGTTCTCCTTGCACCCACTACATGTTTGTATGTGCTCTAAGCACCTCTGTAGTATAATTTTCATCATATTGTGACTCACTGAGAAAAAAACAAGATTATAAAGGACCATTTAGGCAAATCAGGCCTGTCGTGCTAGGATATTTTTAAAGGCCACCAGGTTGTTTTTTTTTTAAGCCACCAGGTTCATATTTTTTAAAGGCCACATGGCTAAAAAAATTTTAAAGGCAAGGCAACCTGGTTCATGTTCCTTAAAGGCCACTAGGTTCATATTTTTTAAAGGCAACCTGGTTCATGTTTTTTAAAGGCAACCTGGTTCATGTTCCTTAAAGGCCACTAGGTTCATATTTTTTAAAGGCAACCTGGTTCATGTTCCTTAAAGGCCACTAGGTTCATATTTTTTAAAGGCAACCTGGTTCATGTTCTTTAAAGGCCACTAGGTTCATATTTTTTAAAGGCAACCAGGTTCATGTTGTTTAAAGGCTAGTAGGTTCGGTTCATGTTGTTTAAAGGCCAGTAGGTTTGGTTCATGTTCTTTAAAGGCCAGCAGGTTCGGTTCCTGTTCTGAAAAGGCCAGCAGGTTTAGTTCATGTTCTGAAAAGGCCAGTAGGTTTGGTTCATGTTCTGAAAAGGCCAGCTTGTGTACATTGGGTGAAGTGGTAAACATCATGCTGGCCATCTTACTTCCCAGGACATTCCTTCGTACACTGCTGTTAGGCTGGGTCAACACGGAAGCCGTGAATCAGTTACGATGGGACAGCCCAGGAGCCCTGAATTGGTTAGGCTGGGTCAACCCGGGAGCCCTGAATCGGTTAGGCTGGGTCAACCCGGGAGCCCTGATTCGGCTAGGCTGGGTCAACCCGGGAGTCCTGAATCGGTTAGGCTGGGTCAACCTAGGAGCCCTAAATCGGTTATAGTAATCTCCTGAAGGAAATGCAAACCCGTAACCTGGCCACCGTCAAAGTTTCAAGCCAATGAGCTAATTATGGTTTCCCACACCAAATTTATAAAACTGATGATAATTCTATGAGAATTTATTTTCTTTGGAAGCCACAGAGCTAAAGAGATAAAGGGAGACTAAATAAATCACCCCCTTCCCCCGGCTCATGAATAGAAGTTCATTTAAGTCTTTTTTATGCATATCATGATGTTGATTCTTAAATCAGCAGTCATATGTTCTGTATGAGCCGCTCTTTATGAGTTGCTGATGTGTTTCAGCTTTTGTAACTTGATGCTCCTGATGTATTACAGTTATTGAGACATGACACTGTTTGTGAGTCAGTGTTCTTTGATGTTTAGATCTGTTAAAATGTCATTATTTTTAATTGACGATTGCTTTGTGATTATTTCCCAGGGCAAGTTTGCCTCCTTTCTTGCATGTGCCAAAAATTTTAACGCAGACAACTTTGATTATGAGGCTCTGAAGGCATCCGATTTTGTATACATGAGATGGAAGGTATTTAAAAAAAAAATCTTTGCCTAATCTATGATGTGGTAATTATTGTGATATTCTGATGAGACTACAGTGCAGCCTCCAGATAAAAGTTTTTAGGGATATGAGGTCAGGCTCGCCACTTTTTTTTGTCTCGGAACTCTCGGCATTACCGAAGCATCTCAATAACTTTTAAATGGATTAGGTCAGGTTAACATTGCCAGGCTGATACATGCTGTTGGAGATCGCAAACTGAAGAAAGGTCTGATCACCTGCACCAGTCGACTTGATGATGATGGAATGTAACGTCATGGTCAGAAGTAACCTTGTTTTCCCACTGCTGCCACAAAGAAACAAACAGCGCCACACATTTTCCCCATTAATGAAAGGAAAAATATTTTGTTTCACACGTACAGCATGCAAATGCTTTCAAAGTGAAACTAACTGGGTGATTTAGAGGGTTGGAATGAATTAAAATTATATATAATAATTTTAGTGGGACAAATAGTTTCAGGATATGAGTTAAGTCACCATACGAGCTCAGTTATGGAAGGATTCAATTGTATCTTGAGGTTCCATTATATTGATATAGTTTTTTTTTTTAGCTGTTTATTAGTTACATTAGCAGTAACCTGACTTAGGCCTTGCGAACGTGCTTCGTAGTGCTGCGGTTCCGGGTTCGGTCCCAGCTGCGGATGGTTTGTCTTGCGTTGGTTTCGACAGTGGTATCGAGAGCTGACCGTTCAGAAAGCAATGACAAACTACTGAACATAAAATGTTCCTAGAAAAACCACAACAGCCAAAAAATGCTGGGGTTGGTTCTGCAACATCCTGTAAAGGTTACGCAACTAACTTATTAGCAGTAACCAGTTTCTTTGTTAAATAGATATACAGTGTTTGGTTGTTCTTTTTTTGTAATATCTTTGTTGAATATGTAAACAGTTTTAACCTGTTTACTCTAATCCCATATATCCTTGTTGAACAGATAAACAGTATTTAATGTGTTTTCTATAATCCCTGAAATTCTTGTTGAACAGATTTGCAGTGTTTAACCTATTTGTTTTAATCCCTGTTGAAACAGATGAACAGTTTAATGTAGCTGCTGTAATCTCTGATATTCTTGTAGAATACATAAACAGTGTTTAATGTAATCCCTGATTTTCTTGTTGAATAGATATGCAGTGTTTAATCTATTTACTCTAATCACTGTTGAAACAGGTAAACAGTTTTTAATGTAGCTACTGTAATCTCTGATATTCGTGTTGAATACATAAACAGTGTTTGACCTTTTCAGGCTAATCATGCATATTGTAAAGTATGTTTACTATAATCCCTACTATCCATATTGAAGTAGATAAACAATGTTTTGTGTGTTTGTTCTATAATATCCTTATTTAATAAATTAATAGTTAATTTGTTAATTCATTAAAGTTATATAGATCCTGTCTTGATATATGGAAGTGAATCATGGAGAGTTAATAGTTTAGTGAAAAATTATTTGGAAACTGTGGAGATGGTTTTTTTCGTTTTTTTTTACGAATGACGAGAAAACCCTGGACAGATAAAAAGAGTAATGAGGATGTCTTGAAAGAAACTAACCCATGAAGAAAACTGATTGCCGACATCAGAAAGAGACAATCTACATTTTTTGGTCATGTGATGAGAAGGAGAAAACTGGAGTGACAGTAGCAAAGTTGGAGGGGAGGGGAGGGAGGCCGAAAGACAAGATGCTGAACAGTGTGATATCATGGCATGGAAGATCATCTGTGTCAGAGTTGATTGAAAGTAAATGACACAGAAAGTTGTGGATGGATATGACTACCAACGTCACACAGCATGAACTTTAAGAAGAGGAAGCTGTTCATTCTGGTGCCAGCTACCCTTGTTAAACATTGTTCAGTGTGTTTAGCTATTTCTGGGTATCCTCGTTGAATTGATAAACAGTGTTAAATATTGTTATGTATTCCTTATGTATACATCATTTATGCAACTCTGCCATCTTGCAGGAACATTTCCTGGTGCCAGATCACACAATTAAAGACATCAGCGGAGCATCGTTTGCTGGTTTCTACTACATCTGCTTTCAGAAGTCTTCTGCTACGATAGAGGGATATTATTACCATCGAAGTTCAGAGTGGTCAGTCGGTCATTTGTTCTTTACCCCATTTTCTGTCTGGTGTTTTGTAAGATACACATGGAGACTTTGTCGAGAAGTATTATTTATTTGGGAGCCGTGGTGGCCCAGGGACTAGGTTGGTTACCTGATGGTCCGGTGATTATAGGTTCCAGTTCTTATTGAGGCAGATTTTTACAGATTGATCTGTGCTGCCAAAGCCACCAGATGTAAAATGGGGAGCTATAAATGACACAGGAAAGCAAGTGGCCAGTGAGTGTGATGTTGGCCACATCAGCCATTGAGTGCCAGTTAGTCTATAAAATCCCAGTGTGGACTCTGTGGACCCATTGTGGGTGGGAGTGGAATTGGTCCACACCCCCCTTTCCCCAAGAATATTATAAAACTTTGACTTATTGCGAGTGCTTTCTTTGAAATAGTAGTGCATCTGCCCGAGAGATAAGGAACCAGTAGTCTGCATTAGATTAAGCCAGATCTTTAAAACAGATGTGCAGACAAAACTCAAGTTCTGGGACAAGGCCAAAGTTCAAAATTGAACTAATAACCATAACTTCCTGCTAGAGTTTACAGCCGGTGAGTGTGAAGAAGAAGGTCTGTACAAATATTTGGCTAACCATATATCTTTGTGTCTCAAGGCATAAAAATGGTTCTACTTTTTTAAAAATAACTATTTTAATGTGTTGCTTTTTTATGAAGAATGAATATTGTTGGGATTTCCTCTTGGTTTCAGTCACTTGATGCATGGGTTTGACTCTAATACCCATTGTCCCACACACACACAAATTGATGCAAGGAAGCAGGGCGGGAGGTTATGTATTATGACATCATAATTTTTAAAAATAAATCCAGTTTATCACTAGAAAACACCTACAAATGCTATAGCCATTGGCGGACCTGTTAAATATTTGCACATGTGCAAATGGGATCGGTGGTTTTAGTGAGGATTCTTGTAAACAAGTCCCTAAGTTGTGCTGGTTAAGCGGCATTTACAGGGGGCATGGCACATATTGGACGTGCAGATTTGGGTATTTCCCGGAGCAAAAAGGGTAAAGAAATGAAGAAAGGTCAACTTTGATATGGTGCATTAGAAACGGCACACAAAAAGCTCCATACCTCTTTCCCTTACATTTCTATGAGGTAACAGAGGGAGACGGACACAGAGAGAGAGAATATACTGTTTGACGTCATGGCATGGAAGATCATCTGTGTCAGAGTCAATGTAAAGTTGTTGAAAGAAAATAAAATTGTGGCTAGACAGGACTACCAATACCACACAATATAGGCTATAAAACTAGATGAAGATTAGAGGAAGAAGACACTGGTGAGGAAGGTAGCCTAACACTTATCATCCCAGTGACAGTATGTGTAATGGGACTGCTTTTCCTCTTTTTTTTTTTAAATAAACACAAATTTGTGAATTAATTTTTTTTTTTTTTTTTTTTTTCATTTTCAGGTTTCAGTCTTTAAATCTGCAGCATGTTCCAGAGAGAAACACAGGGGTTTTCCAGTTTAGATGAGAGCAGTTTGTTGCCGTTTCCATGTTTATCTCAAATATCTTGTCTGGATGGGGCAGCATAAGAAGGGCTGCCGGCAGCATGGATGTTAATGCTAGTTACGGGGACTACAGAATTAGCAAGGACATTCAGATCATCCAGCTGCCACGTCTGCTGGGCCCTGGGGAAGATAAGTAACTGCCCGCTGTTAGCGACAAGATCACAATAGGATACCATATATACCTGTGTGGCATGTTTGCGTGTGAGTATGTGGTTTTGCTTAGCAGCATATGGGTTGTTGTAAGCATAGACAGCTTTTTGCTGTTTCTTGATTGTGTACAGTTCCTATACCGAAGATAGCATGAAGAACAGATTTATATTTCGTTTTGCAAAGAGGTACACCGAGACAGAAATAAGTGTGAAGTTGTATTCGTGATGAAATGTTGACAATATTGTTTGCAGTTCACATTAAATGAATACTTCGTTTTAAGAAGAAATGTTTTGAAAACACACGTGATAAATTCATTTGGATATTTAAAAGGTTGCTGAGATAAGATTAGTCTGTTGCTAAAACCTTGTCAAGAACTGAGCAATTTTACATAGTTTTTTGTTTGTTTGCTGTTTGCTAGTTTACATATTAGACAGAACTGAATAAGTCTCTAGACAGAACTGAATAACCTGCCAGACAGAACTGAATAACTTGCTAGACAGAACTGAATAACTTGCTAGACAGAACTAAATAACTTGCTAGACAGAACTAAAAAACCTGCTAGACAGAACTAAATAAATTGCTAGACAGAACTGAATAACTTGCTAGACAGAACTGAATAACTTTCTAGACAGAACTGAATAAGTTTATAGACAGAACTGAATAAGTTTCTAAACAGAACTGAATAAGTTTCTAGACAGAACTGAATAACCTGCTAGACGGAACAAAATAACCTGCTAGACAGAACTGAATAAGTTTCTAGACAGAACTGAATAAGTTTCTAGACAGAACTGAATAACTTGCTAGACAGAACTGAATAACTTGCTAGACAGAACTGAATAACTTGCTTGACAGAACTGAATAAGTTTCAAGACAGAACTGAATAACTTGCTAGACAGAACTGAATAACCTGCTAGACAGAACTGAATAAGTTTCTAGACATAACTGAATAACTTGCTAGACAGAACTGAATAACCTGCTAGACAGAACTGAATAAGTTTCTAGACAGAACTGAATAAGTTTCTAGACAGAACTGAATAACTTGCTAGACAGAACTGAATAACTTGCTAGACAGAACTAAGTAATGATAGACAGAACTGAATAACTTGCTAGACAAAATTGAATAACTTGCTAGACAGAACTGAATATCTTGCTAGACAGAACTGAATAACTTGCTAGACAGAACTGAAAAACTTGCTAGACAAAACTGAATAACCTGCTAGACAGAACTGAATAACTTGCTAGACAGAACTGAATAACCTGCTAGACAGAACTGAAGAAGTTTTTAGACAGAACTGAATAACTTGCTAGACAGAATAACTTGCTAGACAGAATAACTTGCTAGACAGAATTGAATAACCTGCTAGACAGAAGTGAATAAATTGCTAGACAGAATAACTTGCTAGACAGAACTGAATAAGTTGCTAGACAGAATAACTTGCTAGACAGAATAAGTTGCTAGACAGAGCAGAGAAACCTGCTAGACAGAACTGAATAATTTTCTAGACAGAACTGAATAAGTTTCTAGACAGAAATGAATAACTTGCTAGACAGAACTAAGTAACAATAGACAGAACTGAATAACCTGCTAGACAGAACTGAATAACCTGCTAGACAGAACTGAATAACTTGCTAGACAGAACTGAATAACTTGCTAGACAGAACTGAATAAGTTTGTAGACAGAACTGAATAACTTGATAGACAGAACTGAAAAACTTGCTAGACAGAACTGAATATGTTGTTAGATATAAAAAATAAATCCACCAGTACTGGTGAGCACTCATAGAAATGAAGGTGATACAAGAGAATTCAGTATAAAACGAAAAGCTATAAGTCAGCTGAAATGTGAACCTGCTACTCTCTGGATGACAAGATGTAAACTGAATGAATCACAAGATGTAAGATGAGCAAATCACAAGATGTTGGATGTGTGAATTTTAAGATGTAAAATGAAGGAATCTCAAGATGTAAGATGAGTGAATCACAAGATGTAAGATGAGTGAATCACAAGATGGAAGATGAGTGATTTACAGGATGTAAAATGAATGAATCACAAAATGAAAGATGAGCAAATCACAAGATATTGGATGAGTGAATTTAAAAATGTAAGATGAGTGAATCACAAGATGTCTAAGTCTTGGTCAAGGTTTCAATGTCACGCAAATGGGTCACCCCATACTTGCTCCATTCCTGTGCTAGTGAAAATCAGATTAAATGTTTCTCACTGTCCCATTTGAAAAACTGGTGAACAAACAAATGTCCCTGCACAATCCAGAAAATGCACACGAACTAAATGCATTTGACAGTTGCTAGAGGTGCCAAAGCCAACAGTCACCACCAGAAATGTGTGTATTGTTGATGGAAATACTTGATCACAATAAGATGTCTCTATACACATGTAAAAAAGGTATTTCACCAGCCCACACGTACACTGACTACCTGCCATTTTGAATACCAAAACACAACCGCTGTAAAATCACAAGATGTAAGATGAGTGAATCACAGTTATCAAAGGTAGTTTTTGAATGTGTAATCTTCTTAGCTCTAAACTCCAGTTGAAAGTTCTGGTAGTTCATCCTGTAAGCCAAGGTCAAATTTTTTCCACATCCACCCTGTGCTGATTTGAACCCAGTACCTTCAGACTGGCGGGTGAGTCTAGCCTCAGTGCTACCGAAAACCCCCCTTCCCCTTTTCCTTCCCCTCCCAGCACAGAAGTTGTGCACTTGATATTAAGCTTACTGAATGATTGGACAGAGTCAAAGAACTAAGAAAAAATAGTAGGCACAGTCTCGGTAAATGTTTCAATAGAACATCAAAGAACCAAATGGTTTGGTCATGTTGTCAGAATGGAACAAAATCAGCCAGCAGCTGGAGTATACAATATGAGGATAGCAGGCTGCAAGTCAAGATGCCGACCAAGAAGGAGATGGGTGAGTAAAAGAGACACTACAGAAATGCCAAATGACATTAACTCACGCTACTCAACTAGCAAAAGACAGAAAGCTACATATTACTCCTCTCTGAATGACTTACGGCATAAGCTGTAGGACAAAAGAAAGACAGATGATTGACTGGCGTCTTTCCAGATGAATAGATACATATCAGTTTCCATTTACCGGGAAGGCTAACCCAGTCAACAAATGCCCGCAGAAGTCGGATGTGTTGGTAGAAAGGTGCATGCATTGCAGCCACGCTGTAAACGGACACAACACAATTACATCTTCGGATGAACGTAGAAGAAGAAGAATAAGTTTCCATTTTTGCAAAAGCACTCACTCAAGTCTCACTTTTGAGGAGCCTATGAACAGTTGCCATTGTTGTGAGCATGTTTGATTTTAAGAGCATTAGTCAGACCCTCTACATCAGAGCAGAATACAAGGTCTTGTTTCTTTCTGAGGTAATGCACGAACTTACTATGACTTGTGCGGGGAAAAAAAGTTACTGTGACATTTTTTCTTGATGAGATTCAAATGTTAAGGTCTTGATCCAGGTAAATCTGCTTTGGCTTTGGACAGCTGCAGATCGCGAACATGATCTTTCACTTCTTCTTGGATAAGAATGTGTAGCACAGATGACGCTCAGGGGCGGAGGGATAGATCATTGAATGATGAAGGATGCAGAGCAGCTGGTATCGCTTCTTTTCCCTCAAAGGCAAACTCTTCAGTGGAAATGTATTTTGGAGGTTCGGGAATGAGAAGTCATTCACTATGTGAAACTGGTCACAGAGCGGATTGTATATTTATGTGCACTATAGTCCATTTCTTGTGACCCCTTCTTGACACGGGTGAAACCATGCAGGAATAGCAGTCATTTATATGATTGCTGGGCTCTCACCCAACCATAGGAAGCGGAGACGGCAACGATACATTTTCCCCTTGGATCCACTTAGAAATGTTCTTACATGGGTACTGTAGCATATGTGTGGTTCCCAGACCTTGTTACACAGGTACTGTAGCATATGTGTGGTTCCCAGGCCTTGTTACACAGGTACTGTAGCATATGTGTGGTTCCTAGGCCTTGTTACACGGGTACTGTAGCATATGTGTGGTTCCCAGGCCTTGTTACACAGGTACTGTAGCATATGTGTGGTTCCTAGGCCTTGTTACACGGGTACTGTAGCATATGCGTGGTTCCCAGGCCTTGTTACACAGGTACTGTAGCATATGTGTGGTTTCCAGGCCTTGTTACACAGGTACTGTAGCCTGTGTGTAGTCCCCAGGCCTTGTTACTCAGATACTGTAGCCTGTGTGTAGTTCCCAGGCCTTGTTACACGGGTACTGAGCCTGTGTGTAGTTCCCAGGACTTGTTACACAGGTACTGTAGCCTGTGTGTAGTTCCCAGGCCTTGTTACACAGGTACTGTAGCCTGTGTGTAGTTCTCAGGCCTTGTTACACAGGTACTGTTGCCTGTGTGTAGTTCTCAGGCCTTGTTGCACAGGTACTGTAGCATATGTGTGGTTCCCAGGCCTTGTCTGGTCCCCCATCTTGCATCCAGTATAAGACATAAGCCTTTTCTTTTTCTGTATTGCTGTGATGACCTTGTCTAGCTTGCAAATATCACTCCCCCACAAATATAACAATAGTTGTCTGCATGGTTGAGGCATCCTTACTGCTGGATTCAAGCCGCAGGGATGAAATTACTTGTTGACTCTTAGAGTTTGATTTTTACAAATTGCATCATTTTTAGTTAACAGTCATCCCCTCAGTTGGTATGTGATGCATTACACACAGAATGTTGCACTCTGCAGTGGTAAATACAACGTTGTGAAATGCTAACATTTATACAATACACAGGCTGAGTAGTTTATTCATGACC